GTGTGGGATTTGGCTGCCTGAGCCCTATTTGGAAAAGACTGTAGCACAGTAACTCTATGAGTTGGAAGACAGTAATTGAAATACAGGTGTATGTATGTTCTTCCCTTATTTTCAGGTAATCAGAAATGTAACTTTTTATTAAACAATTTAAATTTAGCTAAAATAACCAAATATTACAGGGTGCATTTTTAATAGAAATGCATACATTAATACTCATATACTAACCAGGATCTAATCATTTGATTTTAGCTTAGAATTCAAAGTCTTCACTATTCCTTAGACGTTACCTTTTAAATTCCTATGTCAATCTACTTAATATTTCTAAACTCTCAAAAGTTAGCATCGTCAGGGGTGGCACCTGTGGCTCAAAGGAGTAGGGCGCTGGCCCCATATGCCAAAGGTGGCGGGTTCAAACCCAGCCCTGGCCAAAAACTGCAAAAAAAAAAAAAAAGTTAGCATCATCAAAAGTTTAGATTGTATTCCCAAAAAGGCCAGGACAAAATCACAACACAAATGTGTTGGATTTTTACCAAAGAAATAATGGAGTTTTGAAGCAGTAATTAACGGTGGATATCATCTCCTTACACTCCTTATATACAGATTGGGAAATTGAGTTCTAAGAAGTGGCTTCTGAAAGCCACAGTGTTCCCTTCTAAGAACTGGACTCAGGCCCTTTATACTCTATCTGGTTTTCTGTTTTGTCAATTGTTTTGCTAATCTACACTATATTTCTCCTCTACAATATGAAAAAAAGTAGTAAGAAAAAAATCACAAATGCATTTTTTCAATCATGTAAAATAAGGATTTTCCCAATTTCATCCCTAGTACTTATTTGTACTCGACAACTTTGTTATATACAAACAATGGTCAGAAGGACATATTTTTATGACAGTCCTTTGAATCAGAGAGTGTAGAAGAAATGAATTCAAGATTGCATACAGGAAGTGACAATCTGTTGGGTGCCATAATGGTGAACTCTCTTATGAGACAAGCTGTGTCCTCCCCCATTCTTTTCCAGACATCAGTTCCAAACAGTGTTCTCTGCTGCCCTCTAGAGCTTCTAACAGCCATTAGTGATTAGCGACAGCCAGCAAAAAGCAAAAGCAAAAAAAAAAAAACCCAAAAAACATAAAACAAACTGGAGGGAAACAAACAAGAAATTATTTTTCTTCCTCACTGACAACGAAAATAGAACATATGATTTGGCAAATCAATCATAGATTTAAACCAAATGAAATAATGAATTAGCATGAAATATGTCTATTTCAATAGGTATCTAAACATTTAAAGACATGTACATAGCTCTTCAATTCAAACTGACAAACTGAAATCTTTTCATATTTGGCTCTAACTTTTTGGTGGTTTTCACTGGATTCGTTTCAAGGTTCAGCAAAGTGAAAATGTGTTCACTGGTTTTTCTTGTTTATTCATGACACGTCTCGTCCATGATTTAGTTTTACCAATAATTCACACATTTGCATTCTGTAGATTGTTGTTCTAGTTTTTTGAAAAGGAAAGCCAAAGTTATGCTCCTGTGGTTTCTTCATAGTTTGTCTACCAACAACGTTACCGACTGGTTATTATGATCCCCCTTTTTACAACGAAAGAAGCATGGAACAAAAAGCTTAAGTGGCTTTACCAACATCAAAGAGCTAATTACCGGTTGTTTGGAAATTTGAACTAGATTGGCCCAACCTAAAAAAAAGAAAAAAATCTATTTTCTCTACCTACATTAATGCTACCAAGAAAGAAAGGAAAATTAAAAAAAAAAAAAATTGTTGCATCAAAAAAAAAAAAGAAAAGAAAAAAAAAAGAATAGTCATTCTTCTTTTAAATATATTCACAAGAATTTCAAATCCATGTCTTAGGTTATTCTTACTTCCCTTCCCCTAAGCTGTTACCCTTCTGTATCTCCCATCTTGGTCAGTGGAACTATCATAATGGTTCTCAACCTGTGGGTCACGACGCCTTTGTAACAATGAAAATACATCCTGCATATCAGAATTTACATTGCAATTCATAACGGTAGCAAACTTACAGTTATGAAGTAGCAACAAAAATAATTTTATGGTTGGGGGTCACCACAACATGAGGAACCGTATTAAAGGGTCACGGCATTAGGAGACAGTAGGAAGGCTGGGAACCACTGAACTATCATCTATACATTAACCAAGCCAGAAGATTTCTCCTTGGCGCTTACATTCACCTCAACCTCCCCTTAGGCACAAGTTACTATTCACTTTTAATAGTGAGTTGTGATCACTCTTCAATTGGTCATCACCTTGAAGCAGTCCTGGTCAGGCACTGTGGCTCACGCCTGTAATGCTAGCGCTCCAGGAGGGTGAGGAAGGTGGATTGCTTGAGCTCTGGAGTTCAAGACCAGCCTGAGCAGAGTGACACTCTGTCTCTATTAAAAGTAGAAAAACTAGCCGGGTGTTGCGGCAGACACCTGTATCCCAGCTACTTGGGAGGCTGAGGCAGGAGGATTTCTTGAGTCCAGGAGTTGGAGGTTGCTGTGAGCTAAGGTGAGGCCATAGCACTCTAGTCTGGGCAACAGAGTGAAACTCTATCGCAAATAAAATAAAGTATCCCATGCCCAAAGTACAATAGCCCTCTAATTCTGCTGCCATGCAAGCTCTGTCCCTCTAAGTCAGCCCCAATGACAGCATGATTTCCTTCAAGCACGAATTTAATAAAGGCATTTCTCTAACTTTTTTCCTTCTCTTTCCTCCAATCTCCTTTATTTATTATTCCTCATTCCTTTCAAATCTGGTTTCTAGCCCTATGACCTTAAGAGACTACTCCCTCCATTCCTTCACTCCACAAATATTTATCCAGGGCCTACTTTACGGAAGGTTGAGGGAGAGAGTCAGGGAAGGCTCTAATGAGAGGACAACGAGCTGAGTCTTAAAAAGAAATCAGAGTTTGCAGCAGAGTATGGGTAGGGGACTCTCCTGACCAGGATAAATTATGCAGTTACAAAGGTAGCCACTAGTCAATGAAGCTAATAAGAGTGACAATTTTTCTATGCTTTGTTAAGGTTTATAGACGATGAATTGCATTTACGTGATTGGATTTGTGGAAGTTCACTGCGGCAGGAGTTTTGAGAGTGTGGAATGGAAGTGGAAAGAAAGGAAGGAGCCAGAATTCAAAGGATGGTCTTGCACTGGTTCAGGTGAGAGCTGATGAGTGCTTGAACTGGGAAAGTCTAGGCAGAGTAAAGCAGATGTAAAGGAACACTCGAGACATAGAAATGAGGATGTAAGGTCTTTAACAGCTGAGGTATTTTGTTCTTTGATACATCGCAAACACCCAGAGTGGGGCCTGCCACAAGATGCAGGATTCTGGGAAGACAGTAGTGGCAATATAGATTTTGTCTTCCTGAATCTCCCCTAAAAGAAAAAAAAGAAAAAAAGAGGCAGAAGAACTATTCCCATTCCCCTCCCACCAAGTTATTTATTTTTCTTAAATTTGGTTTCTATATCTACAATATATTTCATCTACATGAATATCACATATTTTCATCATGTATATACATGTGTCTTACCCTTAAAAGGTTCAGAACTCTTTAAGTAAGCTGGGGGCATTTCATACTTAACTGTGTTTACTCCCTTTCATGTCCCCTTTTTTTTCTCTATCACTTTTGGTACTAAAGAAAAATACCATTTAAGAATATGCCTAAGAGAGGGTGGCACCTGTGGCTCAAAGGAGTAGGGGGACAGCCCCATATGCCGGAGGTGGTGGGTTCAAACCCAGCCCCGGCAAAAATCTGCAAAAGAAAAAAAAAAGAATACACCTCAGAGAAACCCTTAAACATTTCTATTGGTAACAAATCAAAACTAATTTATGAAAATGGTATTAATAAAAGTGCAAATAATACTGTTAATATTTTTATTGAAATAAAAGCTGTATAGAGACAAATGGAAAAATAATTTATTGCCAATTCTTTTACACGTTAACATGGAACATTTATACATATATCGAAGTGCTGATAGGGGAAATTCAACTTAAAGACAAACAGTTTTACACAAAAGTAGTTGCGCTCTCTTTTATAAAGATATATATTAATAAATTATCAGATACCCTTCAGAACAAAGGCCAATTATTCTAATACTAATGCACTCGATGTTGAAATTAAACTAATTCTTCTGAACATGATGTCCTGGATATAACCACATTCTTCTAAGCTAAGAAAAGAAAGCCCATTTCTGGAAATAAAAGGCCAGAATGTTTCAAACAGAAGTATCCCAGCAGTGTGTTTTCAGCTTTATTCTTGGATATGGCCCTAACAGCCCAAGCTGATGGGACAGCTCAGGGGAAAGAACACAGCTTTGTGCAACAGCTGCGTGTGGTTAATGAGATTTAATACAAAGGATACAATAAAAATGAGACCGTTTCAGAAGACGTATAACTGCCACATGATTTGAATGAGCAACCAAATACTTTAACAACAGAAATGTGTATTCTATATGTCCAAAGGGAAATTAGCATACTTCAAAATGGTCACAACTTTCATAGCACTGGACATTAATTTTATTTCGGGAGTCTGAAAATAAATTGCCTTTTCCCCCTAAGACTTAGAATTTATTCCTCTAGAAAATGATTTCTACAATGATATACACCCACATGATAAAAACTTTGTTACATATAATATTCGTTAAAATATATATACACACATATATATGGAGCACTGAATAGATCTGGTAAACCATGATATATGTACACATGGCCAAATACTGTTCAGTTTCGTTTAATTAAATTTAACAAATAGTGACTGGGAGCCTACGACCTGCTGATGACCGCGTTGGGTGATGCTTGTAGTAGATTTTAAGATACACAAAGCTCACATCCTCCACATCAAAAGGCAAACGTTAGCTAATATACTAAAACCTTAAAAATCATCAGAAGCAGAGCTAAAGTTGAATAATGAATAGCAAGAAACATGGCTAGGAAACAGGCTTGGGATAATCGACAGGAACGAAGGAAAATCTATCTCCAGAGGGAAGAATTTCTCTAGGCCTTGGCGTGTTAGGAGATCGCTGGAACTGCAGTCTTCTTCATCCCAAGATCCCAAATTTAGTTATCATCCTGCTTTATTTCCTTAACAAAGTGGAAGAAATAGGAGATTGGTATGTAATGATAATAAAGCATCTTATAATATCCCCAAATACATTTTTCTGTTTGTAAGAGCGTGGTCTGCATTCGCATCTGCAGTTTCCATAAATCATTCCCACCACAATTCTGGGAAAAACAGAGCCACCCAGCTATGATGGCCAACACTTGAGGTAGAGTTTGGTTTATCCCAAGAACGTCAGTAAGCACACCGACCACATAGGTAAATTATTTACAATAGAACCAGCTAAAAGGAAATAAATATTTAAAAACTTGGCATTCCACTCCCTTTAGGAATTCTTATATCTAAAAGCACTTTTAGGGAATGTGTATATATCCACAAAAAGAAATAGAATCATGTAGTCTCTCACTCCCTTTGAAGAACCAGTACATCAACAGGGGAGCGAGGTTATCAAGTTGCTTCTGGTGCACCACATCACAAGTAGGAAAAGGCCTGTTATGATGTGGTGTGACCTTCACACTGGGAGTGGCATGATTCCAGACTGGACATGCTGGTGTTCAGAGGTCCATTCTAGCACATGGGTTCTGGCTGGAATGCAACCAAAGTACCAGCAAGAACCTAAGGCTCCCCTAAGAAATTAATTATACTCTGGAAAACTATGAATCCCTCATCTCTCCAGGAGATTCACACAAGGGACTAAGTCACTAAGATTTCCAAAACTCCCCGACACTCCACAGGGAGATACCTTGCCCATTAGAAGGATCTTAAATTTCAGGGTTGAGAACCCTCCTATGAACTGCAGCCTTCTGGCCACCATGGTGATCTCAGAACTAGCTCAGGAGCCGAGGACAGGGGCTCCTGGGCATCCCCTCACAGCTCACGTAACCTTAGTCGTGTCTGAGACAGATTACAGGGGAAGAACAACAACAACAAAAAAAAACAGGCTGCCCATTCTAGTGCTTTGGTATTAATTTCGCCAGAGGACAAAAGCCGGTAACCATAAAGTATCCCCTAAAAAAGTGTTTATTGTTTAAACCGGCTCATTAATGGTTCAGTTATTTCCGCTGCTTTATTTAAAAGTTAATTTCTGTAAGCAAGAATTCTTTTCAAATGAAACATATTTTGAGTGATTATGATTTAGTTGCCCATATTTATACTCAGTTTTAAAAATGAGAATTACACTCTGATTAGTCATACCTCTGTTCCTGTATTTTTTCTGGACAGAAACCAAACTTTCATTGGTTCTTTTTTGCCCTTCATGGACACTGGGCCTCTGTGCTCCAAATGGAACTGTGGATCTGAATTTTCTGGAGACATAAGACATCTGAAAAATAAGGAGGTTAGGGAGAGAACTATGTGAAGGCTGTGTGAAGACGGTGACATGTTTTCAAGTTAAAAGCCGAGATAGCGAGAGCACATGTGAAGTGATTTTGAAAGGTAACTCGAGGTTTTCGTAACAATGATCATATCAAGAATTCCTAGGATGGGTGTGAAATAATTCAAAATGGAAATGTCACAAACTTCTTAAAAAATAATCCTAAGTGAGAAAAAAAAGAGTGGAGGGGGTAACCGTTTAAAGGCAACAAAAATCACTCGGATCGTTAAAATGTATGCAAAGATATATTTGTTTGCAAATCAGTAAAAGATCAAGACATGTCATCTTACCTGTAGGTATATTCAGACACATTTATTTTTCCCTTTTCTCCGGTGGTTTCTGTTCTGCTCGTGAGGTTGACAGTATTTCCAAAAAGACAGTATCGAGGCATCCGCTGTCCTATGACACCTGTGACGACCTCGCCTGTGTGTATCCCGATTGTTATCTGTAGAAATCAAAGCTTTGCTTCAATAACTTTCATTAATGCATGAATATTTCCTTACTTTGTGTTACAGAATGATCTAGAACCATCACATAAAATCATAAGAATTTTCTATAAGCACTGCATGCATGTTACAGACCACTTCAAAAACCTTCACAAAATCTCTGTCTCCCAAGAGAGACATTTGAAGTCTGAATATTTCAAGGGTGTGAATCTGAAACTTAACATGAGACACAGAAAACAGATTTTATGAAATAAACTAGGGTGGGGTCTCTGTGTGTGACACGTTTTGCGGGGGCAAGACACAATTATAACAGGGACTTTACCTAACAAATGCAATCAGTGTAACCTGGTTTCTTGTACCCTCCATGAGTCCCCAACAATAAAATAAAAAAAAAGAAGAAAGTCTTTTCTCCAAACTTAAAAAAAAAAAAAAACAGAAAAAGCAAGAGATTTTATATCATTGTCATAACTTTCAATACATGGAAGAAACTAGATGATTTCAGACTGGTACACAAATTTCCATGTCTATGAAAAAATATAATACAATGGGCTCAATAAAATTGTATAGTCTTAGTTTTCAAAGTGCTTTTCTTTGTACATACTGATGATTTTCTGCTCAAGAATTTGAATCCACTGTCCACAAGGTTGATTACTACTATTACTACAATTATAACATTAGTTGATTTACTAACCTGAACAGATTCACCATCTACTTGGACCTGGCCAGCAATTTCCATCATGTCCAAGGCCAGGTGGCAGATGGATCGTGCATGGTGAATGCAAGGCTCTGGTAAACCACTCACTGTCATATATTTGTCACCAACAGTCTCCACCTAACAAAGTACACATATTTAGATGTTCTTAGTTAGCATAAAAATGACTTTTCATTTGCTACCTTAATTTTTAAAAAATTACGTTCCCAGCTCTATCTGCAACTTTAAACTTCCTTTCCCCTTCATTCTCTTAACATTCTAATACACTCTATTCCAACAAAAGAAAACCTTGTAATTACGTGTAATTTACACACATGGCACTTGGGGTTTTTGACTGTAGACAGGTACAGACACTGAATTGTTTTTCTCCTCTAGCAAGCAAGGAGTTTCTCACCTCGGAGTCCCAACAATTCAGTAGAATAATTTTTTCTTTACCTTACTTGCCCTTAAAACAGTGATGGTTTGATGGTACAAGAGCCATGACTTGAGTCCAGTGATTTATCCTGGTCATGAACCATTTATTTTTATGATGCGCTCACCAAGTGCTGCACTGTACCTCAGAAAACGACTATAAGATAAATAGTCCTGGTGGAATTATATTAGACCAGATGTCTCGGGATGGTTTAGTTACCATTCTTGCCTTTATGAAGCAATATTCCGCTGACTTCATTTTTCCAATATTATATTTGTTTCTAATTGAAACAAAGAGCAGAAATGCCTTCTAAATGTTTATCTCTGAGTTGATGCTATCTAAAAGCGAAATCTCAGCCCCCAGGACTCATCTCATGCCCTAGGACTTCTTTACTGTGCAAAGCATTTATGTATTTCAGTAAAAATGTCTCTTGCAGAGCGCTAAAATAAATGCCATGTTTATAGCAAATGTGATGAACAGCCAGCACAGATTTGTTAGCCTAAGTGCAAATAAGCTGCTAAACATTTCATTTTAACCAGGGGATCACCCACTCCACGAAGCATGCATTTTGGTTACAAGGAAGAGAAAGTTTCATAGCAAGAGGCACGTTTGAAGAAAATGGTAAACACTGACTATGCGGGGGCTTACTGTCCCAGGGGGCTGCAGAGCGAGGGTCAGAGCTGTGACAGCAGTGCCTCTGGTGGGACGCTCAGAAACCAGAGTCTGAACGGCACTGTGGTTAGCTCTGGTGAGGACTTGCCTTGTAAACAAAAGGATTTTTCCGAGAGTCAGTCAGTGTGTCGAATCTGGTGTAGAGGTCGTTTAGAAGGTTGACAATCTTCATGGCCCCCTCTCCGGACGCGTGCTTGCTACAGAAAGCGTTGAAGCCCACGATGCCACTGAAGAGGATGGTCACGTTGTCATACCTCTTGGCAGGGACCGGACGCTTATGTCGCAGCTCATTGGCAACGGAGGGAGGGAGGACAGAATACAGCAATCTGCTCAGCAGAATTAGAAGAATGCCACCGTAAGATACTCTGGGAATGCCTCTGGTGTTTCTGCTATCCCTTTCATAAAGCCCTGGTACCATGTGCGCTGTAGAGACCTAGATTCTGATAGGACATGCTCTAAAATTGGTATCAAATATTAGCCACATTTCTAAACAAAGAAGTGATAACAAAATCAAAGTTTTCATTTGCAGTCCTGTACTCTGACCCTGCCCTTATGCTGTTCACAGGATGGAGGTTGTCATTACCAGCACTTAAACACTGTGTGAATAGCACAATACCAGGAATACATTTACCTCTCAAAAAGAGGAAATACATTTCAATTGTTTGAAAGTAATAGGAGAATAAGCAGGATTTTCTTCCAGTTTCATTCATGCCTCACTCCTCCATAGAAGAAACTGATAAGACAGGTAGAAATTGTTCTAGATGGAAAAATACTTTATTTCCTGGCTCAGCACCTATAGCTCAAGCACCTAGGACACCAGCCACATACACCAAAGCTGGCAGGTTCAAATCCAACCTGGGCCCACCAAACAACAATGACAACTGCAACCAAAAAATAGCTGGGTGATGTGGCGGGCACTTGTAGTCCCAGCTACTTGGGAGGCTGAGGCAAGGGAATCACATAAGCCCAAGATTTTGAGGTTGCTGTGAGCTGTGAAGCCACAGCACTCTACCCAGGGTGGCAGCTTGGGACTCTGTCTCAAAAACAAACAAACAAACAAAAAAAAACCTTTCTGTCCATAGGGCAAAGCTGAGATGACCGCAATGACGTCAGGTATCACGCTAAGAAAACAGATCCAGTAAACTGAGAAAGTCAGAGATGAGGAAGCCGGAACCACACCTATGGGCTCCTGACAGGAAGACTCAGACTCAGAGTAGCAGATGAGGCCGCCTGGACTGTTCCAGTCTAAAGCAAGAGGACACGCCGTGGGAATTTCAGTGTGCAAGCTGGAGCTGTGCTATCAATGTTATCACTAGTGGAATTTCTCCAGTTACTCACTTTTGACCTTTAAAAAGAATATTTTATATAATGTTAAAGCTATATTTTAGTATTATGTCTGAACAGAAGGACTATTTAGCTTTAAAGAAAATTAGTAGTAAATAGAAACCATGTCAATGGTTTCTACTTAAATGACCTTGAAAACCGAATATCTACAAAAATCTAATTCTAAGTCTAATAATCAAAAAAAATTATATAAGAGTTCTTGAAACCCAATAACAGTAAATAGTATAAACAGTTTCAGAGAGTCAAACCCATCTCCGGGACTCAAAATGAAGGGCTGGTTCTACGATAAGTACTTATCGGCTTCTCGTCTCACAGACGAGAGCACACTGTTCCACTCCCAACACCTTCCAAGTTTGGACTCCTGGTCCAGGAAGAGAATATCCTTCCTAAGCTGGCACTTTAGGAAAAAAGTGAATTAGGAGCTTTTTCAGCACAGACTATACGAATATTCTCACACTTTAAGGAGTGCATTCTTCATAGCATTGGCTAGTCGTTTTCCACGAATGTAGATACTAACAAATTGAGTCACAATACAAAAGAATGAAACCGAGGTGGCGTTCTGATATACCAACAGCCAGATCAGGATGTTGAGTAATTCAAACCTACAAAGTCATTTGACTTTGAGCCTTAGTCCCGAGGTCTTACAAGCTCCATAAAATCTATAATTTTTTGTAAATAAAGCTATGTCATTTATTAATAATATACATAATTTGAATTATTTCTCAAGAAGTGAGAGAATTTGAGCTACACGACCTCACATAATTTTTCAGATTTGTAAATTGCCTGGATACATGAAAATGGGTGCGGTTTAGGCCCATGAGGAAACTAAAGTGGTATCAAAGGAACAAAACACAACTTTCAGCTTCGTTGTGTTCACACAAAGGCCGATATGTGTGAATTAAGAAGCTATGGATAAGAACAGGCATTGAGAATGGCGTCCCTTTCACCAGGCTATTAATCAAGTTAATGGAGGTGTTTACTTGTGTTCACAGCATCCACCCCACCAGGCGTCAGTGCAAGAGAAGTATAGAAAATGATGCCGTCACCAACCTACTGGGTGTTTAAGTTGAGGGAAATACAGTTAAACCTCTGTAAGTTGCCTACCCAAGGGACTGTCAAAAACTGGTCAACATACAGATGTGGTCAACATAAGGAGCGAGGCCTACTGCACTGATATGTGAGTGCAGTGTATGTCCAGTCTACGGAAATTAGGTCAACTGAAGGAAGCGGTCAGTGTAGGGAGGTGATCAGTGTAGGGAGATGATCAACTCTGGAGGCTCTACTCTAGTTGTTATGGGAAGTTTGGCAGATCATTTCCACTCTCCAAAAAGAGAGCTCACTATTTACAAAGATTACAAAATGACATCACACAAGAACCTGAAAAAATCTCTTATGAATGCCACTGATTTAGTGCTTTTAAATTAGTATATGGAAGCAAGGCCAAGTAGTAAAAATGATATGTATTCACTTATACGTGGTACTTAAACATGAAGTATTATCACTGAAGTTATTTACCTAATGTTTCATAACTTAATCTACCATTCATAGAAATATAAAAATTTTATATTTTGATATCTTTGCTAATGTATGCCATTACAAATGTAATTATCATCATTACAGGTGATATTACAATCTGTCAGATTGATGTTTTCAAAGCCTTAAAATGATTTTGGGTTCAATAAGAGACTTGAAAAAAAATATGACAGTCAATTCTAAGTTCATTTTTCCAAGTAACCCTTTATACTTGGCCAGCTTCTGACATACTGACGATGGTTAATATAATACATAACTCTTGCATGAATGAATAAATGAATGATAAGTTGAGCTTTAATGTTTGAAGTCCATTTGAATTCGAATTATTCTCTTGATTTTTAAGGAGAAGCTTTGGCGTATGTATATATTTTTCAACCTTGGCTTCTAGAAACAGAAGATATAGTCCCACTACAATTAAGACTGATTCATTTCCTTATGCATACTTTGTTTTTAAAAGCAACGAGGAAGATGTTATCTATTACTCCAGAGCTAGTACAGGTCTCAGGCTTATAAAGGCAATCTCAGGTAGAGGACAGTATACAGTATACTGTTACTATTATATGTAACAGTCGTGGCTCAAATGTCACATTCTTACGTGTCTGTCTTCTTCTTTTCATCTTCCAGGGCTCTCAGTGTGAGCTGCAGCCGATCTGTGAGGATTTCCAATTCTTGAGTCAGTTTGTATTCCTCTCTGAATTGTTCTCCCAAAAGAACAAGATCACGTGTGGCATCGTGCAGAGGGATGTCACTCAGATACAGCCCTCTCCTTGTCAAATCATCCAGGTTCATCACACTGTCATACAGAGAAAGCAGACAAAATCAGTCCCAACTTGTCTGCATGACAATGCCAGCCCTGATTACTGTCAAGGAGTATGATTCTGCTGTGACCTACCATGCAAAGGGTCAGGCTGAAGGAAATAAAATCAGGAAGCATTGAATGAAGAATACAACTTTATTCTCTCAGATATTTAAAAAGCTATTTTTAAAAGGTTGAACTTGAGATGTACTTCTGCTAAGTTGCAGTTTTTTTGTGCTATTACCCTAAACTGAAAGATTATGTAGAAAACACATGAAAAGGTCCAAAAATATGGAATTGGTTAACTGTAGATTAGGTATCCATACCTAACGGCATAAACCCTCTGGAAAATAAAATGGACTATGTGATTTCTTTTGAGTTTATTAACAAAAGTTACATGGGATTATCTTTGTCGTAGGGAAGTATATAATAAGGGCTGCAAAATCTATTTACACTTAAAAATATATAAACATGATTGAAATAAAATGATATTCAATTACCTTTTTAGCTAAAGATAGGTACTTATATATCATATAATTAATTTAAAAATTATTACCTTGGTGAGCACAGGAAAAGTATGCTGTCTGCCTCAGGTAAGTAGATCATTTGACCCTTCAGACGTAAGCAGCTGATCTCAGTACCAGTCAGTTCATCCTCACATTCTAACTTCTCTACATCCAACAGTCCTTCCTTGAAAACACAAGACATAACCGTTAACTAGTATCTTTGTAAATTCTACCTAACAATTATATACTTCATTATTCACCAAACGGTAAGGGGAAATAAGTACATCGATCGGAACAGCAGAGGGCGCTTCACCAGAGCTTTGCCAGGTAATAGCCTAGTGGCTACCTAACAACACCGCAGGATTTGAACTGAGAAAGATAGTAGCTCTTCTACTGTTCAGATATTTATTTCACGCTTCTGAGAATCTTGTTTTTTCCCTGATTTTCCGATACGTCCACAACATATATTTCCAGACTCTAACAAAGAACAAACCAAGTCTTCCCATTCTCCAACCCCAAATTCACTGGAAGGTAGTCAGTTCC